GTGCTGGCCGCGGCTTCTCGCCGCCCCCATTGGCCCGGGACGGCGAACCGTGGCCAGTGGGGGCCACGATCGGCCGAACCTGCCGCGTCAGCAGGTAAATAAAACTGGCCCGGCCCGCCAGGGTGCTTACCCTGGCGAGCCGCGTGCCGAACATTGCCGACCCCTGGCTTAAGTCAATGTAAGTTACGTTGCTCAGGGGTGTGAAAAAGTTACAGTAACCTAAGCACTGTCCACACCAATGCTGTGTCGGCTGGAGATGCTCTCCCGCCAACATAGCTTCCACTTCTCACGGAGGTGGAATACCTATGCCAAAGGGGAGAGCAACGGTGCAGCTGTGCCAATGTAGCACTGTACTGTAGACTTGCTCTTTGTTGACTTACCATCCAATATTTCTCTTGACTGTTGGGTTTTTTAAACAAGGACCAAAAGAGTTCTTGCAAAGCAACTACAGTGGTTGGGGGACCATTGGGATGATTTTGTGTGCATCCTGGTGAGTTTAGGTAGGGTTCTCTGCTTTTTTTCTTGCGTTCTAAGAAGATAAAATTCACCAGTGTCCACAGAACTGATTGCTGGGGGCCTAATAAACTCCCTTGAAAAATTTTCGGTGGAGGTTCTCTTTAAGGAAATGATCTGGTCTGGGGGACTTAGTGATCTCAATTGCTTCCTTTATAAAATAATTGCCTCTGAACATTTTCTCACATTCTTACCTATACACTGGGGGAGAGAAAATTGACATTGAAGCCTTACAGGAAGAGACAATAAGGTATAAACCGGGAAAGAGGGAATGAGAGAATGCAGGACCTGGGGAAGAGAGGGCGAATGGGGAGAGAACTTTGCGAGAGAGAGGCTGAAAACTGGAGGCAGAGAAAAGTAGAGGTATTGAGGAAATACAGTTTTATCTGAAAATTTTTTGTACTTAGAAAATGGATAAAAAAAGAAAGATATTTATAGAAAAGTGAGAGGCAGAAAAGGATATGCAGAGGGCAAGTTCAGACATGTAACAAATAGAAGGCTGCAACATACAAAGTTTCAGAACTACTGCCCTACACACACAAGCAGAGGGATTCTTCAGAAGCAAGCCACTCAGACAGATTTTCCCATTCTGGAAAAGGAGGGGTACTGTGGAAATGCTCCAGGATCATTGACCCATATCTTCAAGTGACTCATTGTTTTGCAATTTTTTAATAGTTCTTGTGCCTGCCTCTTTATTCTCTAACTCAGCATTTTTGAACATTAAGAATTTATTCAAAATGCTTTATTGCTTGTCTCAGGAAAATCCCACAAAAGGCATTGTGATGGGGGAAAAAAAGACTTTCTAGATATAAAGGGATATGTGCACACTAGAAACATTCAGATAAGAAATTATGCACCCAACTTTTCCTAATATAGACAAAACAAAGAAGCATAAATCATATATTGGTATGTTGACATTTCTATCCTAGTGTGGATTAAATTTCCTCACTCTAAAAGTATTTGGTTATATTGGATACTTCATTGCTACAAGTTGCTGAATTCTTTTTTGGACTATGGTGGCTGATTCTTAGGAGTATATTCTCAGAGCGGCCCAAGTCTACCAAGCTGATATGAAACTCTTACTCTTGTGTTATGTGGATAAAGCTCTAAGCAGTAAAGTTAAAAAATATACACCCAAGCCAGCCATGACTTAATGAATGTGCTTATAGAAGCTGTACTAAATGAGTAACCCAAAATGTTTTTTCTGTTACAGTAACGCTCACTAACGCCACAATATTTAAATCTGCTAAAGTTTAAAATCTTTTGTATAAGCTTGATATTAGTCATTTAAAAAAAAAATCCACCTCCTATTAGAAGGATTTTTCAAAATGAGCTATTTTATTTTTAAATTAAAAAATCAGCTGCTTAATTTGTAGTTTAAAATCTTCTTATCACTCTCCATTGTCTGCTGTTTCAATCCAGACACTTCCTGCTCCAGCCTGTTACTCTCTTGCTCACTGTCACACCCCTGCGTCTGCCGTGCCACTATCTGAGCACAGAAGGTGTCTGACTCAGCCTGGATGTCTTTGTCTTTCTCAATTTTATCTTTCTTTAACTCCTCTCTTTCTGCCTTTAACTGATCTTTCTCTTTATTTATTACCATCACTACCATCTCCTTACAAAGCTGCAGGAATGCTCCAGGACCAGTAAAGCTCTCAGGCTTCCAGAGACCATTATCATGCTCCTGTACAAAATCAGTCAAACTGTTTCCCAAAATCATTTTCAGCTGTTCTTTGTTTCCAGCTGTTTCCCTTTCCTTCTGACATAATCCCTCAACCAGGGTACTAGCCTAGGGCCCTGAGTCCCAGTAACGAAATATATCCATGACACGGGGAAATTCCAGGTTGCTACCTTGCTCCCGCTATCTTCCCCCTTTGCACAGCACAGCAAACCGTTTGTTCCAATCATCCCCTTCCTCTCCACCATTCCTGGCAACTGGCTTGCCAAATCTTTATCGTATATACAAAAGTATCTGTCTACAGTGCTTATGAAATAACTCCAAAGTTTTATTACGGCTAGGTCTACACTGGGGGAGGGGGGAGAGGGGAGGGAATCGATTTAAGATACGCAAATTCAGCTACGCAAATAGCGTAGCTGAATTTGACATATCCTATTCGACTTACCCCGCTGTTAGGATGGTGGCAAATCGACCGCCGCGGCTCCCCCGTCGACAGCGCTTACTCCTCCTGACGAGGTGGGAGTACACGCGTCGATTTGGGGATCGATTTATCCATCTAGATGAGATGCGATAAATTGATCCCCGAGAGATCGATTTCTACCCGCCGATCCGGGTGGGTAGTGTAGACTAGCCCTACATGGCCTATGTTACGGACTAATTCAAATCATGCTTTTGTTAGTACCTATTAAAAGCATATAAGCTGACATGAAAGGACGAGCTAAGATGTGTGCTGTCCATTTTTCATTAGCTCTGTGGCTATAGTATGGGGCCATCAATTCTGCAGTCTCCTTTTTTAAGTTTATTAATCAAATGGTATTACTAGATAGCTGCCTACTGTTGGAGAGTCTGGATTTTTTAGCAGTTGCTACATGTTGACCTAAAACCAATATGAAATGAGGTAACCTGTTGATCCCTTTGACACCTTTTACCCATGAAGAAATTATCAAATTGCCGATCTAGAGCATGGTAGCAGCTACGTTAGTTTCATGAGTGCCAACAGTTCTCAACTACTTTTTCATAGGCCCCATAGACTTTCAGGTTTGTATACACAATATAGGAACCTATCTGCTTCTTTCTCACACTTTTTATATTAAAGTAAGCACCAGAAAAGCATTGTATATTTTTAAGTACATTGAAAAATATGTTAAGAGGGACAAAATGTTGGTTTTTAAACAAGGAGATTAGATTATTATGGTTGTGACAAAGCCTGGGAATTACGTTACCTGCTTACGTTCTAGGTTTAGCACCTTGTTGTGCCTCATTGTTGCAGGAGTCTCAGAATAGTGCGTGAGGTAAAATAATGGATATTTAACGAAACCAAAATAACGAGGGGAAAAAGGAGGCTTAGGGCTTGTCTACACTACAGGTTATGTCAGTATAATTTGTTTCCCAAGGGTGTGAATAAGCCAAGCCCATGAGTGATGTAAATTACACCAACCTAAGCGCCACTGTGGACAGTGCTATGTTGGCAGGAGACATTGCTACCACCAGTCAAAAGGTGGTTTTGTTATATTGATGGTGCTCTCTCCTGTTGGCATAGAGCATCTTCACCAGACACACTACAGTGGCATGGCTGCATCGGTGCAGCTGCGCTGCTGTAGCACTTCTAGTGCAGACTAGTCTTTAGTCTTGACGTAGGAATTCCTGCCTCTGTTAGTATGCCTCTTAATTATTATGTTTAAACCAATATTGGTGGGTTTTTTAATAACTTGTAATATACAGAAATCTTTTTTGTGTATTTCTGTAACCAATAGAGCAGTTTTGATTAACTTTCCTGGAAATTAGAGATGCAGTAGTGACAGACTTGGAAATACTTTCTTCAGGTCAATAACAGATTTTAAAAAACAAACAATTCCCACCCCCAGTGATTGGTATCTTAGAATCAATACTCCTGTCTCATCTCAACAAGTAACAGCTTTCAGGAAAGCTGGCTTTGCTGCCTTTGGTGCATACTTTTTGTCTCTTGATTCATTGCTACCATTTAAACACCAATCTATCCTGCATTCTCAAAAACAATGGAAGCAGGTCAGAGTTTCAGCCTGTGGCAGTCTCTGTCGAAAAAATAGAGGTCATTAGCTGAAATATTAGTTTCCTGCAGAGGGAAAATGCTGACTTAGAATTAAGATGTTATCGCAGTGGAAGTCCTTGATTTGTGTCCCCTCATGGCTGGATGGATAGTGTGCAATTTCTTTGAATTGAGAGCAGTGGTATGGGAATAGAGGTATTGATACTCAAATTGAAGATGTTCTTGCTATTGAGCCAGATCTGAATTAAAAGTAATTTTGCCAGCTCAGCTACTCTTCACTGGCTGTACATATCTAATAAACCAGTACAGCAAGATTAGTTTTAGGGAGTGTTACACTTCTTATGCAGATCGAATGGCATTAGCTTTTCATAAGCTAACATGCTGCCACATCTTAACTAGTACCAAACTTTTTTAGTGCACTTCTTTAATTTGTTTTGTCAGTACAAAGAGGCTGTTAATCATGTTCTTAAATTTAGTTGGTATGTTCAGCTCTGCCTCAGTTATATCCCTTTTATCCTTCTGTATTTTTGTATTATTTCCAGGTTTCTTTATTCAGATGAAGTTCAGATTGGTCCTGAAACAGTTATGACTACTCTCTACACTGCCAAGAAGTATGCAGTCCCAGCCTTGGAAGCACATTGTGTGGAATTTCTCACTAAACACCTTAGAGCAGATAATGCCTTTATGCTTCTTACCCAGGTAACCTGAATAAAATGTTGGCTTATGAAAATATTGTTTAATAAATCACCCCCCAAGAGCTAATATTTTACACAATGTTAGAGGTCTAGGTAGTTTAGTCTGTGGTAGAAATATCTGTGCAGCATATCAGTCTTTTTGCAAGCATCTTATTGCAGCTTTGTCACTCAGCTTCTTGAGTATGAAATAATATAAAGGAAAAGGGCTTTGTAAATAAACGTATTTTTATATAGTTATTGGAATATCATATAAACATGAGGTCTGTTCTCTCTTCAGTGCTATTAATATTAATATTCTAATGAATTAATCTGAGGCTCTTTGAGAACATTGTCTATTTTGATCCAGTATTGTAGTTTTGACTTGCAATTTCAAATATAGAGATTTATCTTTGGCAGTGTAATATTATTATTCAGGAAGGAGAATTGGAGAAATCTGATACAAAAACTCTTAATGAAGTACATCATTCAAGGGCTGTTTGACACAAACTCAAGGAATACTGGAAAGGTAAATTGAGGCTGTCTAAATAGAATGTATCCATTATTCTGGAGTAAAAACTTGTTTGTTTGGGTTACTTCATAAATCTGTTGGTTGCAACACCACAGTCATACCATTTGTCTGTTTAACAATATATTATCTCCATAGGCTCGATTATTTGATGAACCTCAGCTTGCTAGTCTTTGTCTTGACACTATAGACAAAAGTACAATGGATGCAATAAGTGCAGAAGGTTTTACTGATATTGACATAGGTAAGTTGCCTTCTATTACCAGAATATGTATTTAAACTTTGTAAAAGAACTGTATTGATTTGCATTGTTAAACAGTGTACCCAAAGCTTGCACTGAAACATGTTCAATATATAGGCTCTAAAAGATTCCCATATATAAAAATCATCACATTAGAGAACTCTGCTAAAAGGCTTAGCCATCTAAACAAATAAATTAGTCCCAATTGACTTGTTTAACTTGACCATTTTAATAGTTGACCCTCTTGTAACATAGTGGTTTACAGGTATCACAGAATGTTGAAACTGGTGTTTTAACTTGACAGGTTTAGGATCAGATTTTTGGTTTAAAAATCTATGCTCACATTGATTAGAACTAGTTAGAACTTTAGTAAAAGTACAAGGATTTTACCTCAATACCATTTTGAAAGATGAAGCAAACATTTTTATATGCTAGTCTATATTGTCTAATTAGTGTAGGAATTTTAGTGGTACAGTATTATTTTGGCCACTGTAGTGCACTCATTTTTTTTATCGCTGCAGAAGAAACACTGAGTAACATAAGTTTGAATACAAGCTCTAAATGCATAAAAAAAATCAGTTTTACCTTATTGCGAATGTTGTTACTTTTGCATCTTCAGGTATCTTTGAAATTTTTTTTTGAATTTTCACTATACATTTCTGTTACAATAATACTTTGTGTGTGATGTCTGATTAAATCTGTGAGAAAATACTAAAAAAAGCTTGAGTGTCTGTTGACTTGAAAACACTCCAGATTTCTATCTGATTTGGTCCTGTTTTAACTATATATGCCATATTTATAGTACTGTCTCTAATTTTGCTTTAGGTCACTACTGTGATTTAGTACTGCCCATCATTGGATTTATCAAAAAATTGCTGCCAATATGGCAAAAAAAGAGAAATTGGTTTTGTAAATACCTTTTGCTGCATGTTCAGTTTTAGTTGAAGCATTATGGTTAAATTACTCTTCTTCGAGTGTCCATTTGCCAATCCCGCTCAACTACTGGGCTGGTCCTGCCTACTTTCAGCTATGAAAGCAGCATATGTATATTCTTCTTGACTAAACTTAGTACTGTAAATAGCCCAGACTGACATCAGCTTCCAACCTATGAGTGGGCTCGAGCCTAGACTCCCAGGAGGGAACAGACTATTGGCAGGAGAAGCAGTACATTACCTGACACCATTGACTTCATCACAACCAACCTCAGCAAAGCGTTAAGAAGAGTGTCTGTGTAGAGGTAAGGGAGAGGAAATAACCATGGTGTATGAGGTACACAAGAAAAAGATGGGACTAAAGCTTATTTTGCTAGAGGCCAGGGAAGGAAGAAACAAATGGGACTCTATACTAAGATTAACTCATGTATTTTTCTTGGAGTGGGGGAATAGATGATTAATTGGAATTCAGAAAAAGATTAAACAGTGAGTAAATGAGGTTCAAATTGATTCAGATTATACCTGCATATAAAACTAAGGGATACATTTATAAACAAGAAAATAAGTGCTAAGAACATAACACTCTTGTCTGCATCTTTTTATCCTGCTGGCCATAGTTTATATGTTGTCTGTCTAGCATGCAGACTGTCTGGAACAGGAACCTTTCCTCTTTTCTGTCTGTAAAGCACACAGCATGCCTTTGAGTGCTGTATAAATACAATCCTGCCTTTGCAGCTAGTGCAGCTGCATGCTTTCTCAGACTTTGACTTACTACTGCTGAAAATTGCTAACTTTCAACTACAGGGTTTCCTCTCTTACTAATTGCCTCTTTCTCTGCCCTACATTTGAAATACATCTAATTGCAATGTAAGCTCATGGTTTGAACTCAGGCTGAAACCTAACATCCGTCCATCTACATGCAAATTGCCCTAATTCAGGGCTCTGACTGAGGGTCCTGGACCGCACAGGGGTGGAGAGTTAGAGCCTAAATCAAGCTGGGACCCTGGGTTCAAGCCCTATTGCGTTGCAATGTAGACGCAGCCCCCCTGGACTAATGCTCTGGGAGTCTGCCAAAAGTATTCCACAATCCCAAACGCTGACTTTTTGTTCCTTGGACAGTTGAGTTTGGTGGCGTAAGATTCCTTGGATCTCTTCCGGGGCACCCTTTTGGCGGTGGGGAATTGGTGCTCAAACTTGAATGCGGGCAACCAGTCATCCTGGTTTGCAGCTGAGCCCCTTGGCACATGGTAGCTCCAGTCTCCAGGATCGGGGCTGGGCCAGTAAGAAGTCTGTGGCTTGGGGCTCCTGCCTGAGGGCTAAACTGTTAAATAGACAAGGACTCAGGCCTTCTGGGCATAGGCTGAGCAAACAAGCAGGCAATGGCTTAGGCCCCTTGGCCTAGGGATTAGTGCCTGCCCAGCCCTGAGTGCGTGGCTGGGGTAAGGTGGATCCCAGCCCACCCTGCTCCACCGGATCCCAGCCCAGGACCCTTGAAGCAACCGGTAATCCCATCGTGGGGCCAGCAGGGAAACATGAGGTCACTGCCTCGTCTCCCGGCAACACAACAGACCCAAAGTCTCGTTTTCCTGGGCTGCTTCCTACTGGCGTCTGGTTGGGTTGTTCTCTGCAGTGACTGGGACCTGGTTCCCCCTCTCTGTGCCAGGCGGCTCACTCTGTGCTTCCTCTCCCGGTTCCTCCGTCTCCTGGGACCATGGCTTGCCTTTTCTCCAGGCTGGCTTAGAAATGTTGTCATCGTCTGCTGCAGCTAACCATGGGCTCCACAGGTAGTTCAGCTCCCTGGAAAGGACATCTGGCTCCTTCCCTGGTCTGAACCCAGCTGAGCTGCAGGGCCCGGCCCTTATACTTCCTGCCCTGCTAGGAAGTCTGGGATATGTATGGCTGGACTCAAACCCACATAATGCAGCATAGATGCTGGAGACCCAGGGTTCCAACAGTTCTTAATCTGGGGTTACAAATGAGTGTGTAGATGCTCAAGCCCTAGGTTAACAAAGCCAAAGTCTGCTGACTCAAATTCTGCTAATTCAGGGCGTACATTGTGGTTTAAACATACCCTTTGTGGCCTACAGTCTCCCATGTGCAGGCATGATCTGGCCAGAGATGAGTTATATCGGTATTCACTCAGGATCCAGCTGCTTTGTCAATCCAGTTTGAGAGACAGTCATGATGGAATTTATGTCCAAGACTTGTTTCAAAATCAGCTAGAGTGCAAGGAAGAAAGTTCAGATTGAGGATGGATAGTCTGGCCTTATTTAAAAAAAAAGAAAAGAAAATTGCACCTCCCTCTCCTTAAACTTGTTGTGTTTGGATTTGTGCAACTGCTTGCTTGTGCTCATTCCAACTTCTCACAAGTTTCTTTCATTCTACCTGGACGGGGACTGTTTCCAATACATGATCCTTTCCATCTAGCACCTACAATGTTTTCTCCATACTCAGGGTATTGTAATAACAGCCCTTAAGGAGGAAGGTAATCTGATTTTTCCACTATCTGAATATGTTTCTTTCAAGTCCAAACAGTTAGAAACAGCTCCAATAAATCTTGTTCAAAACATCAGTTCTACATACCTGTTGTGTCTTTTTTGATAAACGGGGAGGAGAGCTGGGTAAATTTTCAAATAGTTTATTAGAAAAAATTCACAGGTCCTATTCATAAAGTGCAAAGCTGGGTAAACAATGAAGAAACTTTTTTTAACTTCTTTAAAAAATCGTAAATTTCTTTGTGTAAATTACTTTAGGAAAAAAAACTCCCTTGTTTTATGGCAGGGCTTTCTCACCCAGGGGTTGGTTTTCATATCATTGTCTCCCTCATTCTCTTCTCTAGACAGAGCTGTTTCAATCATTCTAGTTTGGGAACTCCTACATAGTATATACATAACTGTCAGGGCCTTCAACTATTCAGTCTTATGTTCTCAGGTTTAGATATTGTCCAGTTATCTGTTCTGCACCCTCTTCAAGTCTTTGTGGGCTCAGCTGTGAACGCTAGGAGTCCCTCTCCAGGTAATCCTTCCTTCCCGATTGGATCGTGAAATCCCTACTTTGGGTGACTAGTTAGTAGACTAGAAGGAAGAATCTCAGTTGGGAACACCTCTAGTCATCTTTAGGTTCTGGAATCTCAACTACTGCTGCTATTCTTGGTGGGGCTAGGTTCATATAAACCTTAAATCATATCAAGACTACAGGAAAATGTTTCTTGAAATTCTCTACAGAACTGTTCTGTGTTTGTACAGCGCCTAGCACAATGGGGGCCTGGTCCATTACCAGGTTCTACTGCAGTATAAATAATAAATAATGTGCCTTTCGACCTAAATCAGGACATTCTTCCAGTCTAAGTAGATGCAACTACATTCTCTGGATGTCAAGTGATTACCCTTTTCCACAGAAACAGTTTTCTTTAGGAAATTGGATGTGGTCTCATTTACAGAGATTACAAAAAAAGGACAAGTTATCTATGGTCACATGTTAGATGGCAATCAGAGCAGCTTTTTCTAGTATCAGCAAGATTCCTGACATAGATTTGTGCCTATTTTAATAGGTCCTGTGTGAAGAACAACAGACTTTCATGTGGAGAGGTCTGCAAAGCCAGGAATTAAATTGTCCCACTGATCTTCACTAAATCTGAGATGTGTATATAAAAAGAGTTGGAATACTTAGTACTGCTTTTAATTTTTTGGATGCCATATGTCTATCTGTTTAAAAGATCACTTTAATATATCCTTACACTGTCACTTTTTTCTTTTTGTGCATTCTGCTGGTTGTTGCATTTCAATAGTTGATCCAGATTGGCAGATGGACACTCAAATGAGGACAACTTTATATTATGAGTAATTTGGCTTTCCCATAGTTGTACATTCACCAATCTGCTTGATCACTTCCTTTCTTGATCTTGCTCTAGCTTTGGAAATACTCTTTGGGACATGAGAGCAGCAGTTTGGCACTATATATCTATACCTATATATAGTCCTAGTCTTAGGAATCAAGAAGAAAGTTCATATGCTGTTTTTTAGAAGGAGGCGGGCAGGACAAAACCTGTTGGATTGGATGCTGTACACTGTTCCAGAAGACTGATTTACACGTAAGACAAAACTGTCTTATCTGTGGTGGGGTTTTTTGCAATAAATTTATTTAGTCCTTAAACAGATCTCTTACATGTATATTCAATCTCTTACTATTATATTAAAGTAGTTTGGGCTCTTTAATCAAATAGTTTATTCTTAACTGAAGTGGTATAATTTAAAAACTACTTTAAGATGATTTAACATATGTAAAGACAGAAATTGCTATGAAAGGAGAAAATTGACCTAAATTTATTAGTAACTTTTTTTTTTTTTTTAGACACACTGTGTGCAGTACTAGAAAGAGACACACTTAGTATTCGAGAAAGTAGACTCTTTGGAGCTGTTGTTCGCTGGGCAGAAGCAGAGTGTCAAAGACAGCAGCTGCCTGTGACGTCAGGAAACAAACAGAAAGTGCTTGGAAAAGCTCTATCTCTAATCCGTTTTCCACTAATGACTATTGAAGAGTTTGCAGCAGGTAACTGTGGGTTACTTTATCTTACTAATATGTTAATGTAATTCAGAGAAACACACTATGCTAATAATGGACTAACTTTACAAACCTTTCACAACTACCCTGTTAGTAACAAATGCATTTCACTCCTTCCTATCAAAACAGTCCATCTTGCAAAAGTTGTGCTGATCTGAGACAAATCATGATGGACTTTACACTGTTTATTTAAATACAACAATTCAGAATTAAAATGTTAAAGCATATCATATTCTCAGACACATGCTTCTTCTATTCCTAGGTCCTGCTCAGTCTGGAATTTTGTCAGATCGGGAAGTGGTAAATCTCTTTTTGCATTTTACGGTCAATCCTAAACCTAGAGTTGATTATATTGACCGACCGAGATGCTGCCTCCGAGGAAAAGAATGCAGCATAAACAGGTTCCAGCAAGTGGAGAGCCGTTGGGGGTACAGCGGAACAAGTGACCGAATCAGGTATTGGTCATGAGTTGTCCAAGGAGAAAAAAACATGTGACTCAAATGCTGCTTTGTAGTCCTGAAAGCAGTAACATACTGATTTACCACAGATACAACATTTGCACTGTCTATTTAAAAAGTAGACTGTGCGCACCACTCATAGATAAAATCATTTAAAATAAAGAGAATAAAGGGAAATTCTGGAAAAATAGTTTAGGTGGATTCTAGAGTATAGCTTATTAATGATAACATGTATTGCCACATTTAAGATTGGATCCGTTAAAATGTTTCCTTTCAGAGCTGGTCAAAATAGAGGTATTTTTGTTATTCAGTATACTGAGTCCTTCAGAATGATCCTTGTGGAATACTGGGGCCTTTAGTTGTAAAATTGAGGTCTTAGGATGCGATCTCTTTAGTAAAACTTCATTTTACAGTAAGTCTGGTTTGCTTTATTAATTGTATATAGTACTATATCCTGAGCTTGATCCAGCACCTTTTAAATCAATGGGAGTCTTTCCCTTGTCTTGAGTGGGAGCAAGATCAGGGCCCTGTGACTATTGTTGAAATGTGATATTTATAACTCGCCTTTCTCCTGTGTCAGGTTCACAGTTAATAGAAGAATTTCCATAGTGGGATTTGGATTGTATGGATCTATTCATGGACCCACAGATTATCAAGTCAATATACAGGTATAGTATATTTTTAATTAAACCGCTTAGTAGAAACTAAATTTGGTACAAGGAACAATACTTAAATAAGGCTTACTATGAATTTGATTTGGGATGGAGCAATTATTCAGTCCAGCTAGATCATGACACATTTGCATATAAAAATGTGAATTGACTTCAACAATATGATTCTATTGTTTGTCCCTTGGGTGTGACTGAGATAGAAAGTTAAACTTCTGAATCCTACTTTCTTATTTTTAGCAAGCTATTCCTATTCTCCCCTTAAAATTAACATGGGAACGGTGAGATTAATAGAATCTGTAGTCGGAGTATAATCGCTAAAATGAACATAAAACAGAATTGTGTAGTCATAAAGTTCTATAGGTATTGCTATATTCTTGGAAGAATTCAGTGATGTGTTTTTTAGATCTTTCAGTGAGCACCTGTTTGTTTATGAAGATATTTATTCTTTAAAGGTGTCTTGGACAGCAGTATAGGTTTACTTAAAAGTTAGTATTTCTCCAGGAGGTATTTTTTTGTAATAGATCAACACTCCTGGTTCTTACTCCCAGTGCATGACGGGGTGAATTCCCATTCATTAAAATTCCAGATGTTAATTGTGTCACAAGCAGATGGTACATGCCTTCCCCTACTGAGGTTGTACTACCCTTTGTGTTAAATTGGATGGAACAGGGAACTGTTGTTATCTGTAATGCTTATTCTAATGTAAGTAGTCCTATTGTGACTGAAAGCAACTTTGTATTCACACCTGACACACCATTGTAATAATCTTTGTACAAAATGTGCTTTGTGGGTACCATGGGAAAACTAATAACTCACTGGTCAATAATATCATGGTGAAATGTATCTAGTTAACAGTATATGTGAAGTTATGAATTCCCCCTGTATGATGATGATAGTCTGTCTAGGCCAAAGTTGTTAAATAGGCCTATCATAAAGGAAGGAATGTGTGTTTACCTCAGTTTACATACAAGTAGCAATCAGGGTCCTCAACAGCAGGGGGAAGAGGTGGCAGGAAACAGAACAATTTGCATTTCAGCAAAAAACAAGTGGGGGCGGGGGAGAAAGCATGGAGCCTCCTTCACCATTGAACTCCCATGTCACCTTCCTTACTGCTTGGATAAACTTTACACTGAATGGTAACCTTCAGAAGAATCTACTTCCAACGTTCATTGAAATATAAAAGAAAGGGGCAGAGAACGCGAAGTTCTCTCTTTCACCTAAGAAGACAAAGGCGCCAGCACCTGTGGGCCACTAGGAGAGAACGTGACCGAGGACAGGGTCAGTTACCATCATGCTGCAAACTAGTGAGTGAGAAAGGCCATCTTGAACAAAAGCCTTGAACCAAACTTGCTAGATTAAGATTTAGGCCTTTAGACACATTTTCATTTTTATTTGCTTGTATCCATTTCTAGCTTTATCACTTATACTTGAATTCACTTAAAATCCTATCTTGTTTTTTGTTGTATTCCAAGGCTGTGTTTAAACTGAACTGTTCGATAACTCCAGTTAAAGTAACAAAACTGTTGAATATTAACTCCTTACAGGAGCAACAAACCTTAATATCTGAATTGTCCAGGAAAGGGCTGGACATTACAGAACGCACGTTTTTGGGAAAAATCTGGGACTTGGGAGTTTGTTGGGGTCATCCTGCCAGTAGTAACCAAGGCTGATGGAAGCCAGTGTGTGACTGGCATTTTGCTGGCAAGCAGCTGGGGTCAGAGCTGCTGGACCAGGGCTGCAGCTATACACAGACACTGAGGGTGTGACCTGCATGTTGGTAGGCTGGTTGTGAGCGGCCCAGGTTGGGAACTACAGCAGCAAAGCATTGTGAGGCACCCAGGATTACAGGGCAGGCAGCGACAAAACCCTTCACTGGTCTGAGTAGTACCCCAGAATGTGACACTTATATATGTTGATGCTTGGGTGGGTTTTTTGTGACTAGAGTTTTCTTCAAAATTGTAAACTAATTAACAGGTAAAAAGACACTTCTATTTTATTTGTTTTATGCAGATAATTGAATATGAAAAAAATCAAACACTGGGACAAAATGATACTGGATTTAGTTGTGATGGAACTGCTAATACATTCAGAGTTATGTTCAAAGAACCTATAGAAATTTTGCCAACGGTCTCCTACACAGCTTGTGCAACACTCAAAGTAAGCATGCTTAAGAGAGCGTAGAAATAAACATAATGGAAAGTTGTTTGGAACCAATATTTTACCCAAATTTTAAACTATCTGGTAGGGAAACATCCTCTAACTCTCTCTCTCTCTCTCTCTCTCTCTCTCTCTTTCTTAATTGTCTAGTTTTGCCTTTGAAGTGCTTGTTTTTGAATTGGCTTTCAAGGGGGTGGTGGAGCTGTTGTGGCTTTATGCTTTCCCAAAGCTGAGCTGATCCAGGAACCAGAGCAAATCCCAATGTAACTATCACCTACTGCCTATGGGCAGCAGCACTACCTACATCAGGGGTTCTCAAACTGGGGACCGCGACCCCTCAGGGGGTCACAAGGTTCTTACATGGGGGGGTCGCGAACTGTCCGCCTCCACCCCAAACCCCGCTTTGCCTCCAGCATTTATAATGGTGTTAAATATATAAAAAGTGTTTTTAATGTATAAAAAGGGGTCGCACTCAGGCTTTCTACGTGAAAGGGGTCACCAGTACAAAAGTTTGAGAACCATTGACCTACGTTCTCAGCATTGCAGCTCCTCTCTCCTGCTCCCAGCCCATCCGTGGCATGCCCCCTACATCATGGTTTGTGAGAGTGCTCTTGGAAGACAGCCTGCGTCTGTCTTCCTCAGTGCCTGCATTGGGGAATTTCTTCCCTAAGCCAGACCTGGGATTTCTACACAACTCTGTACTTGACGTACTGGGGCTGGAATAAAGGTGGGAATCTCCTAAGAGGTGCACTTTTTTTTTTTTTTTTTTTTTGCGGGTGGGGGGGCGGGTTTGTTTTGTCTTATTGTTTAAAAATGTTACTTTGGATGCAATTTTGAAGCTATTAGTTTACTTGCAGAGGTGAAAATGTGCATTTGTAATATAGTATTAGTGGAAATTTGCATCAAAACTCGAATCTATCCTTTGTGTTAACTGTATTTTTCTTCCTTCTAATCAATGATATACTTCAAAAAATGTTTTAAATTTTCTTAAGCTCAGGTTTAGCTGTTATGCGTATTATCTCTTCTAAAAGTCCTCCATTAAACATAATAGGCTGCTTTGTCCATTACTAAGAGTTCATGTTGGGGGGGGGCGGGGGTAGGGCTAATCTAATTATCCAAAAATCAAATACAGTAACTCCTCACTTAACGTCCTCCCGCTTAATGTTGTTTCGAAGTTCAGTCGCTGCTCCATTAGGGAACATGCTCATTTAAAGTTGTGCAATGCTCCCTTATAACGTTGCTTGGCTGATTTTACAAGGGAGCATTGCACAAGTTCCTCTTCTCCGCCTCCTCCCCCTCCCTTCCTTCCTCCCTCCCTCCCTCCCTCCCTCCCAGCACTTCCCCTGCCGCCAAACAGCTATTTGGCGGCTCTTAGGACTTTCTGGGAGGGAGGGAGCGGGGAAGCTGCCCCCCTCCCCGGCAGGCAGGGCTACCCGGAATGCAGGGGCTTTAGGGGCTGCAGGGCCCTGGGCTAAGGGGGCCCCAGGACCTGGCCTGCAGCTCTAAATCCTCTTTCGGAATGCCGTCCTGCGAGCAGGGGCCGGAGGACTCAGGAGGAGCAGGGGCAGCCGTGCAGCCAGCGTCCAGAGAGAAGCAGCGCTTTCCCCTTGAAAGCTGGACAGAGAGAAGTCCTAGGTGCTGCCAAACAGCTGTTTGGTGGCAGGGAAGCGCTGGGAGGAAGGGGGGGGGGAGTGGGGACGCGGCGTGCTCCATGGAGGAGGTGGAGTGGGGGTGGGAAGAGGCAGGCCTGGAGCATCCCCTGGCAAAGTCAGCACATATTCTTCTGGGGGGAAGCTGCTGCTGCGCAAGGTGCTTCCTAGCGTCCTTGCCTGCCTCATTGTCTGCAGCGGGCAGTGCCTGTGTGGGGTAAGCCAGGGGCACCTCCCCACCACAGTACAGTACTGTACAGTATATAATGCCTTTTGTCTGCCCCAAAAAAATTTCCTTGGAACCTAATCCCCGCGCCCCCGCATTTACATTAAATCTTATGGGAAAATTGGATTAGTTTAACATTGTTTCACTTAAAGTTGCATTTTTCAGGAACATAACTACAACATTAAGTGAGGAGTTACTGTATGAAATTTCACAAATCTGCATACCAGAAATTTCAAACACTTTAAATATTAGTATAGGCTTACATAGTAAATACACACAGTAAAAACATTCTGGCATATTAGTTGCCAGATGAAGAGCAGACAAGTTGGTGTCTGAATTCTCCTTTCAAAGGTAATAACAAACTCCAGCATTCCTTTAGTCTGTGGTACCTCTGGAGAACCTTGAATTGTATTAGGTAATACATGCTAGACTAATACAATTCAAGGTTCTCCAGAGGTACCAGAGACTAAAGGAATGCTAGAGCTTGTTATAACTTTATATATATTAAATCTTTCTGCTCACTAAATAGCTACATTTTCTCCAATTCACTTAACTACTTTTGTTGTTTATATTAGGGTCCTGATTCCCATTATGGTACGAAAGGATTGAAGAAAGTAATCCATGAATCTCCCACTGCTAGCAAAACCTGCTTTTCCTTCTCTAGTTCACCCGGTAACAACAATGGTACATCGATAGAAGATGGACAAATACCAGAAATAATATTTTATACATAATTACACAGAATAGTTCATCTCAGATAATACAAGTAGCAATGTATAGACTGACATTGGCATAAAGTACTTGCTATTGGTGACCATGATTAAATTCTATGAAATTACATAAATATATAATCTCTTCATATGTACTATGAAACTAGAACATTTCTTATAGGAGGTACCAGAAAAATCTATTTTTCTCGCCATGATTATTGGCAGGATATCAATAAGTTAACAGATGTAGTTCCTTTTTACCTTCACAAAACATTGAAAGTAAGAAGTACTCTATATTGTAAAGGTATTTTAAACATTATCTTGTGTTTTGTTGGTTTATTTACTTCCTGACTCCTTACATTGTCTTCAGCATTTGGTGAAATTCTTCTTTGATCTCCTTGTTTGTTATGGAATTTTGGTATATTATTTTTCTTCTTTAAAAATGCAATAGCTATATTACTTTGTCCCAGACTTGCATTTCCCTCTAAAATACTCTTGCAATGACCATTATGGACTCAAGTGACAACTTTTTTTTTTTTTTTTTTTTCATCAACAAAACTGGATTTTTTTTTTTTTTTTTTTTTTTTTTTTTTTTTTTTAAATTAAATGAGCCATGAAGAAATACCTGGGTTAACACTGTAAACAGTATCTGGAATTGTATTAAAGAAATATAGCACATACTTATAGCTGAGATCTGCAATGTACAATACTTCAATGGTCTTGATTTCATTCAGAAATGTGTATTTTATAGTAATGTACTGGAGCGTGTAAGTTGGTATGGTGATGACTATTGTATATAAATATGCCTGCAAAAATGTATAATGTGAAGATATGAAAATACAAGACTTCTATTAATAGTATTCTAGGACCTGGATGCTCAAGCATTAACCAACACTAAAATCTTGATCTGATTTAACGTTATCTGTTTGTGCATTTAGTTCCAGAGAATATCTACAAGTGGGTATGAGGCAGTGCAGCCAATTGAAAGGTGCAATAAATGTACATAGATGATCAGTCAGTATACTCTGCAGCATTCTCTGCAGTTGTTTAAACAGCCAAAGTGTGAAAATTCCCATTCACTCCACAGGATCCTGTACACTCCTACAAACCATACCAAAAGAAATTAGTATGTAGTTGAAAGCAATGACTGTTTCCCTAATGTTCTCATTACTAGCATAGGTATGGTACAGTGTGTACACTTACTTTTGACTTTATTTATAATGCCACTAATGTTATCTGAGCAGATAAATAAGGAGTATTTAGATCATATAGTATGTTTATTTTAAAGTGAGCTTAGAATAAGTGAAATCCCGTATCATTTTTTGCTTGCACAAAAGTCTTGTAATTTTTTTAAAATACATACAGTAACCACTGAGGTAGAATTAGAGCCGCTTTAAAGTTGAAATGGCATTAATAGCAATGTAAGAGGACTTCAGTTAAACTATGTAGTGTAAATAAAGGTTCTTCAAAAAACGTGCAATTCTTTAGTTTAAATAAGCTTTTTTGTGGTTAAGTGAAATGCATGTCAGTTGAACTTAAAAGAAAAACTTCCTTTAGATTGCTGTTCCTAGTGCCATATGTCTAGATATAGATATTTGAAGTCACTGAAGTCCTGTGACATACTAATAAACAGTTGTCACTGCCTTAGCCAATATATATTAGGCGAAAAGAGAAATGCAACAGTAACTGTGTAAACCATGACTTCTGTTACCTTTGTGCTCTTGAATTTCACCTTTTTTGGTCTAACCTGTATTTACAGGCCTGACCGCTAGAGCTGGGGAGAGCATTCTACAGTTGCTTTCAAATTATACTGTCTTTTAAAAATAATTGGTGTACTGATAAATACACCTGAGCTGAGACTTACTATATTCAGTCCTTGATCATTACTACAAAGCTCTGCTGAGCCAATGAGCTGGTATTGGCTTGGTAGTTCTTTAGTTTGGTGGTGAGTAATAAGAATGGACATCATCAGTTTTCTTTCAGACTTCCTATGTTAGGGTATGGAAAACGGTGTGTGTCTATTAGATCTCCTTTTAATTGTCCTTTAAATCATAATATTTTTAGCAGTGGTGAATATAATTGGTAACATGCAAGCAGCCAGCCTGCTATGTAGAGGCAGAGACATTAACAAAAGTGGGGTTTCCTTCTCTAGCTGCTGGATGGAAAAATGTTAGGCTGATATAGAAGAACTCACAGAAGCCTAATTATCAGGTTGGAAATTTCCCTTCCTCCTTAGTGTTACTCTTATTACTTACAAAGATAAGTCATTAATATGTACAGTTCAGGACTGGAGAAAATGCATCTAGAGTAGAACCATAGGATAATGTTGAATATTCAGCATTAGCCTACCTTGAAACGTAATAAGCTATTGAAAGATGAATCACTGAGAAGTGCTAAGAAATCTCATCTAGTTCTATCATGCTGACAGTAACTACTTAAAAAATGTATTTTCTTCAATACCTATTTCTCTGATAATCTATTAGCTGAATTATTTCTATTTTCCTGTCTGGCAAGTGATGAATTACTTAAGTACATTGTTTGGCACTGAAATTAAATATAAGAGCTAATGTGTCATTTCTCCTATGAAAGTCATTAGTTAGCTTAAAAAACCTGACCAAAACATCTTGTAAAGTGGGTTACTAAAGTTTTCAGTATTCTTTGTTCTATTGCCCCAACTCTTAAGTGTATGTATCTTCTTGTGGTTCCTAACTGAAGATCGCAAAAACAAAGAAAAGAAAAAAACCTTAAAAGTTAATGCAAAATAGAGGGTTAACTATTGAATTAAAAATAAATCCATGTATGCCAGTCACAAGTACTGTTTCTCATACCTTTACTCTAATGCTTGTCATGGTCTGCTACTGCAATAGTAAATACCTCTTAGTTACCCACCTGAGTATCTTTGTGCCAACTTTGACAAATCCACTTCCATCTATTTTGTGAGTTAAATGATCATGCATGTAGAATGCAATAGCAAAGTTGTGCTTATGTATTCTAGAGGAAGCCTTTGGTGTAGAGGGAGTCATCTTTCCTTTTATTCTTTCCAAATCTTCAAGGCTTAGCTGGTGAGTAGGATAAAGACTATTGCTAGTGATCTTCTGGATGATTTGTTGAGGATTGTTAGTAAGTTTTGCAGTGGTTCTTCTGTGACTAATATAACTTAATGCCTGCATCATATAGGCATTACAGTAGAAAATTAAAACATGTTTAAGCCTATGATTACTGCTACCTGGTAATTAAAATCTGTTTTCCACCTGTGCTCATTTGGTATGAGGTAATTCTTGGGGTGGGCACCAGGCTTTAGTGCACTTCCAAAGTGTCTTTCATCTGATAAAGTGCTTTAGAAATGTTAATTAATTCAGCCTCTTTCTGCTTTTGTCACAGATGCTATATGCCAGTTTTACAAATGGGTAAACTGGTGCACAACCACTTGGGTAGTATTAAGTATAGCAAACTCCTGCCAGCTTTGTATTTATTATACTGCACACCATGGCTCATCTCATGTCTTCACTTCTGTAGCCACCTCTTCCTTTCTATCCTGGCTACTGTAATCTTGCCCCCCTCAGGTCTATTTAGAATGCTTCTACTTCCTTTCTGCCTGTTACTCTGTCACCTTCCGCCCATTCCACTGTCTTCTTTTGACCATCAGCTTGTCTACATTTGAGTTCCTTCATGAGTTGGCTGTGCTCCACCTCCTTCCTCTGTTAACTTATTGTGACTACTACCTGTGCTCAACTATCATTCCGTTTCTTACCACCTAATAATCAGCTTCTCTGAAAAATGTTTACACTTTTTCCCTTGGCAATCTTTTTCAAATGCACCTTTTAATGATAAGTTTCGTTTAATTCCCTTCCCCTGGTCCCTGATTTAGCCACTTGTAGACTAGATTCCCTGAGTTATAGACCATCTTCCAACAGTGATAAGTTGACAGGCCTGACTGTATTTAGCACCTACAAGAAACTTTCCCTCTGTGACCAGTGGCTGAATAAAGTGACTCAAAACCAATTCATTTTTTCAAATCAAATGTATTGTTTATTCAGCCAAAGGTATACAGCAAGCAGAAAATTAAGTCTAAAATCCATCTGATTTTAAGTAAACGTAATTTTTGTTCAAGTTTTAGTAAATTCTATCTAACCTGGTTCTTCACGTGTCCTTTTAACCATATTAAGTCCTTTTCTTCTCTTGGTTCTGGAACCTGGCTGTTGCCTTTTCATAGCTGATAAAATAACTGAGCTGAGTGTTTGTTTTGCGGTTCCTTTATCTAGGTTATTGTTTTGCCTTCCCCTTAAACTGCACCAATACATTAACACAGTCCAATAACTCCACCTAGCTATGTATTAACTATCTTAATAGCTTGGTCATATAGTCATAAAAATTACCACAGACCAACGGTGCATTCTGCACACCTTTTCCTACTCCTCCATCCTTTTTCAGATTACTTAGGTTTCAAAGTGTGACTTTTGTTTTCTATACGAAGTTTGCATGTATTCTCCCCCCTTTCCCCCATGCCAATTTGAGTGAGAACTTTTTGCAATAGGGACGTACTTTGTCTGTATCATGCTTAGCAGAATGGGGACCTGATCCTTGAGTGGGGACTCTAGGTAGGACTAATAAAGAGCAGGCCACTCCACTAGCTACCAGTCTTGCAAGGATATAAAAAACACTGGACGAGGGAGTCTCAGGGCTCTAGTAAACACATAATTTTTTAAAAAGGACAAAGCTTTGTTGTAGCAGCGGCAGCTACCCAGCGTATTTTACTTATGGTTTGCAAGTGCCCCTGTGTATTAGCTGCTTCATGTAATTATTGCTAAAATATGGGGATAAAACTAATTTTCAAGGGCAGCCCTTATGTTGTTGTAACTGTCAGTAAGGTGTGTTAAGAGAGGGAAAATTCTGTGTAAAGAGTGGTTACAAGAAGGTAACCAGCATTGGTTAAAGGGGAAGCATAAGGCTAATGGAGTGGTTTATCTAGCCAGCTCTAACAGAGCATGCAGTGGTACAGCTACCCAATTTATGGGAGATTCTGAATGCAGGGGCCAGGCCCTAGCTCCATGCTGTAGGAGTGGGCAATCAGTTGTACTGTGATACTGAAAAGCAGCACAGACCTGTTGCTGGCCCAAAGGGCCCGAGGGGGGCAACAGGGTTCGTTGCCTGGTGTGTGTCGCACCAATAGACACACCAGCGTGGAGAAGCAAACCAGATTTATTCAGGAGCTCTGAATAGGCACTAGGAGACCAGCATGTCTCAAATCAAGCGCAGCAAATACAAGCAAGTTTCCCATTTTATATTCCAAGCTGTTTGTGTACAAGCCTTTGTTCTGTTCCTCCTCTACCCCTCCCTTCCTGACAGCAGTTACAGCAGGCATTACATTGTGGCATGTTAGAAAAGTTCTCGTCCGCATGCTTATCTTCGGCCTTGTAGGCCTGTGCGCACGCAGTCTTCCCCCCTCTCTTCCCCGTCCTTATCGCTACGTTTGCTAGTGTGAGCAAAACTGCAGCTGTCTGCTAGAAAAGCTGACCGTTATGTATTCTGCTTTTAGGCTGGTTAGCATGGAGGCTGGTTAAAGTTCACAAGATGGAGTTACTGTGGCTCACTTAGACCCAGAACAGGGGAGTTTCATTGGCACTTATGGCCTTCCGCCCCCCTGAGTTACCTGGTAGCTATGCCTAGTGACGCCAACAGACCCATGGACAGTTGCTTTTTGGGTGAAGATCTGGAGTGGGGGGCTCCTGCCAGATCTCTCTGCTTGCTTGTTTATTCCTATTACTGTTCAGGGTCATAGGCCTGGGTGCACGTTTTTTAGACTAAACCGTTCACCACTACGGATCAACGCTGACGCCCTTGCATCAATTTCGGGGAGGGGGGGCGGCGTATTTACCCTTTCCATCCAGTCCGAAAAAAGCGCTACACATTTTATTCCTGCTACAACCTGCATAAACCCCGCACTAATGTAACTCATGGGAAGGCCTCAGCTGCGCTCTGCACGAGGCAGGACCGGTGTAGCCACCGGCCCTTCGGACGCGGCGTGCTGGGCTGGGCCGGGCCGGGCCGTACAGCCGATGCTGGCCCTGGTACCCCGCTGTGCCGCAGAGCTGGCCCCCTCGCTGCAGGACGGGAGTGCGCAAAAGCCAGGGGCGGGCGGGTGCCGTAGCAGCGACGGGGCTGAGCACACACGTGCCCTCGATGCCGGCGAGGACAGTGGGGGGCGGGGGTTGCAGCCCACGGTAAGGTCGAGACCAGACCAAGCACGAGGACACCTGGCTGGCGGCTCTGCCCCTCGCTCGCCGCCTGGCTTAGAACGGAATCGAATGAAGCGCCTGTTCAATCTGCGCGTGCGCAGTACTCTGCCTGGCCCCGGAACTGGGAAGCCGGACGGTTTCCCGGCAGGCCCCGCGGGGCGGGGTGTTCTGGTGTTGCCGGAAGTGCGGGTCGGAGCCGCCCACGGTTCGGTCTGTGTGATGCTGGTGGCCCTGGCCGGCTTCCGTCGGCGCGGCGGCTGGGGGCAGGGTCCCGTCAGTGCCTGCGTGCGGAGCTGGAGCGGGGCCATGCCACGGAGGGTCAGTGACTTGGGCCGGGGCCGCTCGCTCTGCGGAGCACGTTGGGCGGCAGTGGGGAAGGAAGAGAGCGGCTCGCCTCGGCCGGGGTGGCGCTGGGGCTCCTGGGTGTGTGGCGCTGGGGACGGGGTGAAGCCCCTGTAAGCCGGGTCAGCGGGCCCTGGCCTGGCGCCACTAACCTACCGCAGCGGTCTGGGTTCCTGCGCCGCCGAGGGGCGGGAGAGAAACGGCCTTTCCTGTTCGCCCCGTCTGCTACCCTGGGCGTTTGCCGGGCGGCTTCGTGCTGCGACACCGGCGCCGTGGGGAGCCCCCCCCCACACACACACACCCCCACACCCGGTGGTTGGCTCGGTCACACGGCACCAGGAGGGGGAAACAGTGATTCTAAAACCATTCTCGTTGCTTGGGAGCGGAGGGGAGACTCAGAAGCAAGAGTAGAGGCTGGAACTAGTTTTAATCTTCGCACTGGTTGGCTAGATTTCAGATTTGCAATGTCACTTTAACAGCTGCTGGGTTTTTTGTTTTTGTTTGGTTTTTTTGTTCAGGGAAAAGAAAAGTGTAAAGACCCAGTAAAACCTTCTGTTCCGTCAGGTCCAGTTGTAACTGACAAAAGTGGTTCCGTCACTATTGCTATTCGTGCCAAACCTGGATCCAAACAAAATGCTATAACAGGTATATCCCAATGAAAAGTGTAAGTATGAGGGAAATAGTTCATGTAATTAAACAAACAAAGCTATTTGGGAAGGCAAGTTTTTTTCCTCCTCTCCCTGCACCCATTTCTTTGCACAAGTTTATGGTCCTGCAGAGAGGTCCAAGTGATAGTGAAATGTGGCTTCACAACCTTCATTATATCAAAATGACCTGATGTTCCTTGTGCTCCATTTGACTAGGTGTAGTTGATTGCACTGGTAAAACTGGAAAGATGTGTTGGAGTAAATCCACCTTTTTGCAAGCAGGGAGAGTAATCCTGGGTAATCACTTGATTTTAGCTATATTCCAATATAACTGCTTATGTGAAATATTCCAATGCTGCCGTCTATCTTCAGATGAGTGCAAAGCAAAAGACTTGTTATAGTGGACAGGATCCAGTGTTGTTGGGTTTTTTTAAAGCTGACCTGTGTAGCAAGTATGTTGATTGAATAGCAAGAAATAATCTATTTTACACATCTGTGTATATATAATTTGTTCCATCCTCTTATGAACAGTACAGGCATTTATGTAAAGACAAAGGAAAATTTCTTTTCTGTTCAGCAGGGGGAGCCTACTTACCATTTATGACAAAAAGCTCAGTCAAATCTGATCTCTTTGTAGTGAACCATCCTTTGTTATAAAACTAGAAGCTTTGTGATCCTTATTATGAATGGTATACACCAGGGGTTGGCAACGTTTGGCACGCGGCTCGCCAGGGTAAACACCCTGGCGGGCCGGGCCAGTTTTATTTACCTGCTGACGCGGCAGGTTCGGCCGATCGCGGCCCCCACTGGCCGCAGTTCGCCGTCCCGGGCCAATGGGGGCGGTGAGAAGCCGCGGCCAGCACATCTCTCTTAGATGGGTCTGTTATCTGTAGGATAGTTCAGCACATATTTCATCTTAAAGGGACATTAGTGGGCATTGTTACAAAAGAGATGATAATCAAAACTGCATAAAAACTACTGGGACATTAACCCCAATTTCAAAATCAAATTGTAGATTAACCTCACGTCTGGAAGCAGGGACGGTAGTAGAAGTGGATGTGAAGGGCCCAGTACCTCACATTGACACTTGGGAGAAAATTATGCAGAGTCTGCAGCCTGACAAAGCCTCACTGTGTCCACCAAACTCATGGAACAGGATCCAGATAACTACAGAATGAAACTTGTTAATTCTTAAAAGCATCACATTCTAGAATCTAAGGCCCACTCTTCCCTATTTATAAGGACTGTCTATTAATGCATACATCTGAGGAATTGACTAGCCTTGTTGGTAAAGTGGAAAAAACAAGTGGTAGAATTAAGTGGATGTTCTTGATGCAGTAAAAGTGCAGTAAGATCCATCATCAGCTGGACTGTTCCAGGAGTTGTCTACTTGGTTTCAAATAAACCATTCTTTAAAAATATGAAAGTAAAAAACTAGGCACCGTTAATGCTTTGAAAATAAAAATCCTAAAATATTTGTTATAGATGTGACATCCGAGGCAGTAGGTGTAGCTATTGCTGCACCTCCATCAGAAGGGGAGGCAAATGCAGAGCTGTGTCGTTACCTTTCTAAGGTTCTAGAAGTGAAGAAGAGCGAAGTTGTTTTAGATAAGGTACAATACTTTTTCTTTTTCTGCTCTGCTACAGTTAGATTTCTGAAACTTATATTGTAATAGAGACCACTTTCCACATACAGCAGACCAAGTTTCTATTTTTCAAAATACTAGTATGGAGATATATTAAGTTGTGTAACCTCAGTTATGGAAAAATAACGTATTTTAGTCTTTGAATTACTAACTAAAAATAATCTGTTTCTCAATGGCCCAAATCAAATGTGCTGTTACTTTTTCTTGGTATTTTCTAAGTCAGTGTTTGGTTCATGTCCTCTGTGACCTTTAAAGTATTCTTCATACTGAGTCTCATTTTCTAAGAAGTTAGAATATCTTGCACAAAACACCTTACAAGTGACTTTCTTTAGAAATTTGTATATTTGAGTAAAAGATCTCTGTTGGGTCACTCGAATACACAGTGATGAGCATATCAATTCCTAGATAGCTTTGCTTCTATTGCGAAAACAGTAGTAACATCAGAACTCCTACAGTGACTACTCTGCATGATTAAACAGGTGGAAATTGCATTTATTTCTTCTAGTGTCGTTTTTGTTTAAAGTCCATTTTCTCCAATATCCCTCTTTTACAATTAAGATCAGATTTGGACAATGACAACTTCTATGAATTACATGTTTATGTAGATGTTTGTGATTGAAAAGATTAAATTCATTATCCTTTTAAAAAACAAGTATTAAATCTTAACCCATTGAAGCCAATAGAACTTCAGCATACAAACAAATTAAGAGAACAGCAAGTAGCAGAAGTGGGGTTAACTTCTGTCACAGTCACACTGGGAAGTCAGCATTCTACTACCCAACAGTGGTCTGTTCATTTAGGGTGGCAGCAACAGCAGAAGGGACATTGAGAGGAAATAGAACAGTCTGTTTCCTGTTTTGGAAGGCTACCAGTTAGTCTTTGGCTTATGTTACTATCATGTTTGTATGACATATATGAAAAGTGGATGAAGTCTGAGCCATCTACTAAATGTATTCGTTTATAGGGCCAGGAAGATAAGAAGAGTGCCTGGGATGGATGCTTTTTTATGTTGTACATAAATCTAAATACATACATTTTAAAAAACAGCTGTTAGAGGCTACGTTGTCTAATGGACTGAGCACTACTTGGCTGGTAGACAGGAACTCAAAGATTTATATCTTGGCTTTGCTGCAGACTGAACAATGTACTTAACCTTTATTTCAGTTTATCCCATCTATAAAACAAGGGTAACACGTTCTTACTTACCTCACAGTCATGTTGAGAATTAATTAGATTGCTCTTGAAAAGCACTATATAATTGCTAAGCAGCATCAGGCATAATGAGGAGCAGCACTGTTCAACCTTTCCTAGTCAGCTCTGGTAATTCTAGTCTGACCTGCAGCACCCAGGCTATTTTATATTAGGACTTGTCAACCACAGACCTTCAGTCATTCTGAACTGTGCCTCAATTGTGAAGTGGGTCTGTTTTGTGACTCCAGCCAGATTTTCAACCTAGGTGTACAAGGCTAATACCATATGATAACTGCTACCTAGCATTCTCCCTTGTCTCCCAGCTGCTATATAATCAGTTCTCAGCTGGGAAAGGAGATCCAAGCTAAAATTAAAAATGCAGAACTACATTTGTTGGTCTTATTTATCTTGCCTTACAGAATTTTAATCCTGTAATACAGTGCAACGTGACTAAGCCACAACTTGAGAAACTGAAAGCAGTTTCTTAACAGTGGTTATCTTCTAATAAAGGTGGAGAAATTGTACTCAGTAGATTTTGGGATACTGTGGGGCAGCCTCTTAAGATGGAAAGCTGCTAATTTGTGCTTTCAATGGAACTTTTATGTATGTACTGTAAATGTAATTCTAGATTTGGGAACTTAATTCAATCTAGAAATGTAGCTACTGGACTCTTACATGAGAGGAAACATTTTGTTAGCGCATCCTTATAAGAAGTAAACACCAGTTGGCCAAACTATTGTTTAAAGAATGCCTTGATTTCAATAAAGTAGAGATAGTAACATCTGTATGTGACATCTGCATAGTCCCACGTGCAGGATGCATTGCTGAGCTTGGAGAGCATCCTGCTGCTCACTCCCCCTCCCAGCTGATGGAAAGAGCAGCAGCTCAGGGCATGCTCTAAAACCTGCCTGCCTACTTTGAAATATGTAGCAGATCCAGTGACTCTGCTCCCTCCCACCCCAGGAATAACTAGGGATGATATTGGGTCCCTGGCCCCACTCAGCCCACTTATTCAGGGAGAGATTATTTTCTTCCTGGGTAAGCATGTGAGTGGGTAAGTGGGTTTTTAAGGCCTGTCTTAAGGCTCACTCTGCTATGGCCAAGCTGGCATCCATGGCCTGCTTCTGGAACATTAGAGAAATCTTAGACATTGCAGGGCTGCTATCTGCAGCTCATTCACACATTTACTCAGAGTCCTCTTCTCATCTAGATTCAATGTTTGTTTCAGAAGAGAAGAGTAATTCTGCAGTTCTTGCTTAATTGCACACCCCAGTCTGCCTTCTCAGGAGCTCTACCTCTTGTTAGACTTGCACAAGTCAGACAAAAGCATCTCGAAGAAGAAAAATGTTACTTAGCAGTAAACCTAGAACTTTGAGGGTGGTGTCTATGTTTTTATACTAGCTGCCCATCGTCCTCTGTGGTATGGTGGAAGCAATTGTTACTGCTTCAGCTCCATGGCCGTCTTATAACCTCAACTTAGAATGTGTGGTGCCACAAGAGGGTGCTCACAGAATCCCTATGCACAGTACTTTCCATGCGGTCTCTGAAGCACCATGGCACTAGAGGATGTTTTCTCCCAAATTTGACTATGCAGAGGAAATAACTCTGGTTAGAGTTACTGGTGACTAACCTTTTTTCACTACTGTTGGTTGAATGTAACCTTAGTACTATTTACAAAGTACCCACTCTATTGGCACCATGATTAGTTTTTAAAATGTGTACTTAGAAGTAAAGAAATAATTCTCTGAATTCTTTTTTGTGTTGAAACAGGGTGGTAAATCTCGTGAAAAAGTGGTGAAGATTTTGGTGTCGATGACTCCAGATGAGGTTTTAGAGAAACTGAAAAAAGAAGCTACCAGTTGAGACCAAACAAAAGCAGGAAATGGAACAATGTGTCTTGAAAATCTTTCATTGGATGTAAAGAGGAGGAGGGACATTCGTCAATGAGAGCACACAAATGCGGACTGTGGGTCACTTACAAGAAACAAAGATTCTTTTGTGTAAATGTGTAGATAAATTTAAGTACATTGTAAATTACAAATCTCTTCCCTATTCTTCCATACTTTAAACGTTTCGTTTAAATAATCCCACAGAACTAAGGCCCAAGCTAGAAGTGGAAGCAGGATTTATCGCTGGATAGGAAAGCTAAAAACCCTGAATCTACATCATGAATTCAGCATGACAGGGCTCCTTTTCTATAGTTATCTTCAAAATAGTCTCCTAAGCGTAAACCCAGTCCTGATGAGTACTTGGGCAATGTTTTTGAATGCAGGCATAATTATTTTTGGTTCACAAAGTAAAAGGCTTGGAGTGACAGGCTTCTGATAAAGCACTGGAACAATGTCAAGAGAAATATGATGCAGAAGGAAAAATCAATTTAGAAGTGAGAGCCTAAAAGAGCAATCAGTGTAATATATAGTGGCATGCGCAGGGTCCAATTCTACTCTTGTCTACACCACTGTAAATCCAGAGTAATGCCAGTGGCTTTTGAAGCCAGTGGCATTGCCCTGGATTTACATAGGAGCAGAACTTTTCCCTTAAGCAGTCAAAAGAATTGAGTCTGCAATATGAGAAATTGATACAGTACTTAAGCAGCAAGTACACAAAAGCTTGCTTTGATTCACTAGGAAGCCTATAATCAGAGTTGCTTAATAAAGGTAGAGTTTCTTATAGAGTGGTCAAAAGTATCTTCACCTTACATGCCAAATGTAGCAATTTGTTTTGTTTAATAAAAACACAGCACTAAGTTTCATCCACAGTTCTTGTATTTTCAATGAGAACGGATTATTTCTAGCTGTGACTTGACTAGTAAAACAAAATTAATTTGTTTTTAGACAGTCTTAGCAGCAATTTTGTTTGTTCTTAGTGACATTCTGTTGATCTAAATAAATGAGTTGTGGTCAAGAATCAGTTTCCAGCCCATAGAAAAGTGAGCAAAATGAAGTAATACATGGAGTGGTGTTAAAAAGAGTGCAAAGATTGTACATGAGAGGAAATGGGAGAAGTAGATGTATTTGTCTTAATCGCTCTTGACAAAGTACTGGAATGCACACTTGTGTTCCCCACTAATATATGTGATGTCACTATATTCGGCTGTTTCAGCTATCCTCTTAGGTTGCAGCTGTTATGGGTTAGATTGTGTTACTTTCTACGTTGTTTCTATCCAACAGCTGTAATGTGTAAATGTGATTTTATAATTTTAATGCCTAAAAGTCAATAAACAGGTCTAAAACCCCACTAAGCTTCTGCATCTTCCACTGGGAAAAAATCCGTATATTAAAATAAGTAGCAGAAATGTATCAAAAAAGGTTTTCACCAGCTGTGCATAATCAACAAGCTGCATATCTCAAGTTTCACTTTTCCATGATCAAAAACTGCTTTTTGTCTCTCCCATCCCTTCCATTTTCAGCAATGCAAAAAGATGTTGCTAATGGTTCTATCTACTAGCTATGTGCTAATAAGGTTAATTGCTAGAGGAATAAAGGCTGTAAATATTTGCTGCTTAGGTCATGTTTTGCTTCCTCAGGCTGATGCCCATACACTGCTTTATGTGTATCTCCTCATTTCCCACTTCACAGTCCTGACACGCTGACATTTTGGCTATCAATTGCTTTTCTCCTAGCCCAGTTGGCATTCTACTCCTCAGCTTTACGTTGATGCTTCTCACTGTTCCAACTGGTTTGCCCAGCAGAGGGCTTCACTCTCTTGATCAAAGGGAAACTAAAAACATGCATGTTTACTTTCATTTGTAGTCCTTAGTGCTACATACTCGTGTTCTGGGTGGAGTGTTCATTCAGCTGCTCAGCATTTGCCGAGGGTGAAGTGGAAATGCCCTAGCCAGAAAAAAATTAAGAGGTTCCCTCTGCGTAACTCTCAACTACTTATCTTGCTCAATATATTATGTCTGAGTTTCCCACAAGAGGAAGAAACACAAGGAACACTATAGTAGTGACTTACAGCTTGAATATATGAATTTCTCCAGTATGGGCACCTACACACTGTTTTATAAAGAGTGACTAAAATCTCCCGGGGAGCAGCTATACACCATTATTTCAAACTCCTCGTTTAACATGTTACATTTTTCCACCACTTTTATGACCCCAAAGCTGTATCTAGTCTTGGAAGGAGACCAAATCAAGTAATGTATAATGAGATCAATCTTTTAACAGTTCTCCCACTGCAGCGTTAACCAACACGAGCCTCCACCCCTCTTTTTTCTGAAAGTGATCTATTCTGTCCAAGAGCTTCAGCAGCTTCTGCTGGGGAGAATTAATGTTTCCTGAACTCAAGCTGGCATTCTGGATTGCTTCTTTCCAATCAGTCAGGCTCTGTCTTCTGTGACTTGAATACAGCAAAGGTGCCTTAGGGATTACACTCTCCAGTGTGGGTCATGTAAGGTGGGCCTGACACATGCTATCATGTTGATCACTGATGTCAGTCAGACTTGCACTATCCAGCAGGGAAGATTATTAGTCCTTGGGAAATGAGCATTCTGCCCTGCTCTCTGTTCCATTTTCCCCTTTCCTTATGCAGCTCCTTGTTCTCACCCACCAAGCTCTCAGCCCCACACTGTCCCTTTTAAGTCAGTGGTAGCGCTCCTGGTGAGGACATGCACCACTGACAAGAGGGTAGCATGGACATGAACCACTGCGGTGATTGTAAGTTGACCTAACCTATGTCGACTTATGTTCCTAGTGTAGACATGCCTGGTGTGACATACTGTTTGTTCTCCTTTGTATGATATAGTAACAGGATTTCCTAAACCATTTTTTCAAAAGCTCTAGTTAGTGTGTATTTGTACCACTGTACACTGGTTTTGTACCACTGTATGAGAATCAGTTTAATTAGTTTAGTCAGGTCACTATGATACCTATAGTGCAGTGGTTCCCAAACTGGGGTTTGTGAACCCCTGGGGTTACACGGGGTTCTTGGGGGAAAATTCCATAATGGCAGACAGAGCTGTCCCCAGGGGCCCGGGGACAGCAACCCGGAGCCCCTGGATTTCCAAGAGGTAAGCAGATCAAAGCAAGCATATCTATCACATGGAGATTTAAACTTCAAGACTCATAAGAAATGGAAAGGGAGGTGGACATTTTTTGCTGTTTTTAAATTAAATAGGCAGCTAGGATTGTTTTTAAAATTATGAAGAACAAGTTTAAGCTTTGTTGTAACATGCATTGTTTGCCTGAACTGCTCAAGACCTGAATGCTTGTGTAGGAGGAACTCTTTGAGTTGGCTTCTTAAATACCTTCATGCTGTTTCACATCTGATGCTCTTTGATGAAACATAGGAGCCTTGTCTTATAACAGGCTTATTGAACGTGATACAAGCTACGAAAGTAGGATCTCGGAAGAGTGTTGCCATTTTCATAATGTAATAAAAATACTGTAATGATAAATAATTAATAATAGTGTGTAATAAGCATATCATAAAAACAAATTTTATATTCCAAGATCACTGTTTTTATAATTTATACTCAGGTAAAGGAGAAAATCCCTGGAAATATTCATTTTTAGGAGGGGGTTCACAAGACTTGACATTTTATTGAAAGGGGGTCACAGGTTGTTAAAGTTTGGGAATCATTGCTATAGTGACACAGCATCAGAGACAAGGTTCACCCCACAATTCACACCACTCTTAGCAAGAAGAAAAGATCAGGCTGTATGCTAGGCCCAAGCTCCTACTGCTCAAATCCAGGCTGTTTGATGGCCTGAGGGCAGGTCCTGGTGTCTCAGAGCCATGACAAATGGCACCGTCTCAACAGAGGCATGAAACTAAATTCTCTTCTTGTCCTTAAGACTGCTTTCTCCTGCCCAAGATTGAGATGCCCATGATGAGAGTGTGGGAGAGCTTGTAATGTGGCTACCCACCCTGTACTTGTTCTGTGAATAGAAGATTTATTTGGCACCAGTAAATGAAATTACATGTTTTTAGAAATCAATAGAATACATAACATTGAGAGTGTGTCGTCTTGTCTAATATAGGAAAGCCTCTTGCAGTATCAAACTTTTTGCATGAAATAGAAGAACATGCTCACTTTACCAGAATTAAACATCTTCCATCATACGGGGAGGGGAGAAACCAGCAGCAAACATTCCCTAAGCTTCCACCAGGGTAAATTCTTCAGTAGGGTAACACTTGAACAATTGTTCATCCAAGGACTTCAAAGCACCGTATAAATATTGTGTCTCAACCTGTCTTTGAAGCAACTTGTAAAATTTGCACAGCAGCTACTATTCAGGGTTAACAATGCCTGGATGCCATTCAGTTGAGGGTTTAAGCAGTAGGACTGAATACCTGCTTAAAGTTAGGCATGCACTTAAGTAAATAGTCATTTTTTTCCTAACATTGTTTGACAAATATCAGATATTTGTCACACAATCATGAGCCAAATAGTATTTTAGCAGTTATAGAGCTGACTAGCTACTGCAGAATGGCATTTTCAAAGTTATTTAAACATGGATGTAATGTAAGGACTATATTCCCTGAGTGAGTACCATGCCAGCAGCCCTACTACATACAACTGTCTTGCTTTTTCTAGAACTCTGTCTTCCTTGCCATATGCTCTCAGTTTTCTGAGTCAATAAGATTTACTTTCTGGAATCTGACTTTGAAGGGGTGTGTGTAGTTATATTATCCTGCTCTAACCTGCTAATTAAGGATATTTAATTATACGTTCTCTAGCTGGCCTGTTTGCTCTTTTCCTTTCAAGTCCAGTCCATTTATCATCTGCAACTCATTTCTACTCTTCCCATAGTCCCATGTGTCTCTAAATCCACATTCCCTCTGCCTTCATCAATCTAAATAGTCTTGTATAATTGACAGCTTTGTCAATAACTGGCAGTGGCAATTTACCAGAAAGTGCAGTTTAATATCTTCCTTCTTCTAGCCTCCAGGAAGATAGATACACCTGATCGTTCTCCTCATTACTTCACACTCTTCTTGCCCTCATTATTTCCCCTCTCATGCTGCTTTGGTGTGTATGTAAAACCAGAACCAGCTGAGACCCAATTGTTTATCCCTACCTACTGTATCTCCCCTCTTACTGTTTTTAACCTTTATTTCAGTAGGATGATCCATTGCCATATTAGTCAGTATGGAAATGCACCACTCAGTCTCCCTCTGGGAGCATAGTGCCTTACTTGCTTGTGAAGCATGTGCTGCTCATTACTCTCTGCTACAAAGTGCAGCAGCCTTTCAGAAAGTGCTGCTAATATCAGAGTCCTTCACCCCGGCATTGTAAGCACTAACAGCAGCATTTAAGAAAAAAAACCACTTGCTGTACGTGGGAGTCTGAGACTGCTGTTGTGAAGTCCTTTCCTCTCCCACCTTTGGTTTTCAGTTGTTCAGGGAGTCTTTAAAAAGCCACCGCAAGGTTTCCCTTTAATCCGTATGTCTGTGTAAAAGCTGGGAGACCTTGAGTGAAGTGGTTTGAGAGGGAGATTCTTAAAGGAGCCCACCATGGGCTACTTCTAAAACTGCCAGGCAGCTGTAATTTGGGGCTTGCTTTCTGGAACATTGTTTAAATGATCTATTGGCTTTTCACTGCTATCCTAGACCCAAATAAAACAGCCAGAAAGTGTAATGCAAATGTGGTGATTTTCCTCTCAGCATTCAGTCTCTATAGATGCACTGTGACAATTGATAACGCTTTGTGGGGTGAGAGGGAGGTTAAAAAGAAAGGGCAAGAACCTTGTTTTGTGCTGCTCAGGTAAGACAGCAGGAAAGTTACCCTAAAGGAACAGCAAGGGTCTCCTGGTATAAATCTGGCACAGTTGGTTCTATGCCTCCCACTCCCCATTACTTACCATAGAGGAGGGATGGGTAAGTCAGCAGGCATCAAGGCACCAGAAGAGGGACTTAATTCACTGACACTGTTCACTTCCTAGAGAAACAGTGTCAGTGAATTAGGTCCCAAATGTGGCCTACTTTAAAGAAGCACCATCAGCCTGAATTTTTAAAAAGCAACGAATCTGAAAAAGCTCCATTTTCTAATTGGGCCCCCTTATAAATGGCAGGACTTAAAATCTCTGAGGGTTGGCTGGTCAGCTGCTGAGCTCGGAAGTATAAACTTGATAGCAACAATGCCAGACATGGCCAGCTAACCCTCCCTCTTCCTGCCATCTCCGCTTCCTCTGTGCACATACCTACCTGCCTGCTGCCTCTTAGAGTTGTTCCTGCTGCTACAGGTAAAAACACCCTCTGACAGGGCCTGCCTGATTACTGCATTGTAAGCT